AAAGGTAACCCTGGAAATAAATGATCAAGTGAAGGAAGACCGAGTTTGCCACTTTGAAGTCAAATGAAGATTGCATCAACATTTATGCATTCATAAGAACATCATTTACACAATAGACAATGCATTACATTGATACATCTGAGTGTATTCAAACATAAAGTTTTACAGATCTTCGTATGAACAAGAAGATTCATGATGAAAAATACCTTACAAGAAGAAGGTAGAATTCAAATGACAACAGGAATCATGCAAACATATGAAGAATAGATGAATGCAATCCACAAAAGAAGTATTATTTTTGGGGCATGTTACCCAATCAAACAAGTTATTTCAATGAGAAAATGCTTTCCAAAGTTTCTCATTTAATCAGTATTATTTTGGGGCATGTTACCCAATCAAGCAAGTTATTTCAATGAGAAAACGCTTTCTAAAGTTTCTCATTTAATCTTTTCTGAAAATGAAATTGTTGAATAGTAAGAAAACAATTTCCATAGTTTCTTACTTAGTAAACAATTTCCTACATCTGTAAGACCTTAAGTGCATTATGCTTTCAAAACCTTCGGGTCATCCGTAAGCCATGCAGTGCATGATGTTTTCAAAAAAAGCCTTCGGGTCATCTGTAATCCCTTCATTGCATGATGCTTTCAAAACCTTCGGGTCATCTGTAAGCCCTTCAGTGCATGATGCTTTCAAAACCTTTGGGTCATCCGTAAGCCCTGCAGTGCAGGATGTTTTCAAAAAAAGCCTTCGGGAGCTTTTGATATTTTCAAAGCCTTCGGTTAATCTGTAAGCCCTTCAGTGCATGATGCTTTCAAAACCTTCAGGTCATCTGTAAGCCCTTCAGTGCATGATGCTTTCAAAACCTTCGGGTCATCCATAAGCCCTGCAGTGCAGGATGTTTTCAAAAAGCCTTCGGGAGCTTTTTGATACTTTCAAAACCTTCGGGTCATCTGTAAGCCCTTCAGTGCATGATGCTTTCAAAACCTTCGAGTCATCCGTAAGCCCTGCAGTGCAGGATGTTTTCAAAAAGCCTTTGGGAGCTTTTTGATATTTTCAAAGCCTTCTGGTCATCTGTAAGCCCTTCAGTGCATGATGTTTTCAAAACCTTCTGGTCATCCATAAGACATGCAGTGTAGGGTTTTCAAAAAAGCCTTCGGGAGCTTTTTGATATTTTCAAAGCCTTCGGGTCATCTGTAAGACCTTCAGTGCATGATGTTTTCAAAACCTTCGGGTCATCTGCAAGTCCTTCAGTGCATGATGTTTTCAAAACCTTCAGGTCATCTGTAAGACCTTCAGTGCATGATGTTTTCAAAACCTTCGGGTCATTCATAAGACTTCTAGGCATAATGTTTTCAACATTTCTATCATACTCAAAAGAAGCCAAATGAAAAAAATTATTATTTTTTCGTCTTTGTTCTATTCTTGTTAACACAAGAATGAGAAAAGAGGGGCAGCTGTAAACACTAATTTTTTCATTTCATTTTATTATTATTATTAAAATTATTATTATTATTATTATTATTATTATTATTATATATATGTTATTATTATTATTTAACAAATATATTACAAATCCCGGAGCCCAATCACCAGGCCCATTTTACCCAAACCAGATGGAGGCCCAAAACCCTTCTAGGGTTTTCATATCTCATCACAGTCGTCATCATCTTCAACCGTTAGATCTGGAGAGATCTAACTATCCAGATCCAATCTAGAAGAATCATAGGGTTCACCAGCCCTATGGGGATATTTCGGTCGCCGCCTCCAGATGGGCCACTCCGACGTTGCCACGACGCCGCCGCCTCCAAGTGGTCTACTCCGACGCCGTCATGACATCACCGTCGCACATAAGACTCCAGAAGAAGTGAGGATAGCCGCACACTTCATCATCTATATGGTGAGTCACCATCGTAGATCCGGTGACTCACCAAAATGAACGGTGTTCTGAGGCCTTTTGAAGCCTATAAAAGGCCTTCGAATCTGCAAAGAAAGGAGGAGAGACAACAAAAACACAACGAGAAGAACGGGAAGATAGCAAGAAACACCAAACAAGCAGGAAACAAACCAAAAGAAGAAGAAATGAGAGGAGATCTTACCTTCGTCGAAGTCCAAAGGTCGTCAGAAAAATTGTTTTAGCGAAGGTAAAATCTTAGATCTAAGCTATTTTAAGTGTTTTAAGAAAAAAAAAGGATAGTTTCGGGTTTAGGGTGAGTCGATCTACGATTTGAGCTATTTTTATTTTTTCTGACCATCGTGAATAGTGGCCGACGATGAATAGTGATCGGAATAGTGACGTGAATAGTGTCCGACGGTGGTCGGCAGGTGACCGGAGCTCCCTCCGGTAAGAGAATTTAGAGAGAAGTGAGAGCTTCTCTCTTTAGAAAGAGAAGCAAAATTGAGAAAATGATAAGAATTTCTTATCTTGAGCCAAAATTGAGGTATTTATACATTTATCAAAGCTATGTCGTTTTGGTGAGGGAGTGTGTGTGCAATTTCAAAATTGTTAAATCACGTCCATGGTCCCTGTATTTTATAATCTTCTATTAAAGTCACCAAAATCAGGTTTCTATAACTTTTAATTTTGTCTTCACCTTTTATTTATTTTAATTTTAGTCACAAACCGTATATTTATATATATTTAAATAATATTTTAGGATTATTTAAACTTTTAATATATATATATATTTTATATATTTCGAATATTAACTAATAATTTATATTATTTTTATTTAATCATATATTTTTATTTTGGTTATTATTTATTTCAAATTTAATACTTATTTATTATTTTTATCACATATATATCCTAATAATCTATATTAGCTTTTAAAATAAAATAAATAAATAAATTATTAAAAAATAATAATAACAAATTAGAAAGAAAGAGCACTAATTTTTCTTTTATTATATTTTAATACTATTCACGTCTTTTTTAAAATATATTATTTTACTTTAATATTTTGTTTTTTTAAGAGAACTATATTGGATACTACACTTTCTATTATATTAATAAGAGCACTAACTTTTGTTTTATTACTTTTAAATACTAATCCCATGATTCTTGGTTTTAATATATAATAATGTTATATTTTATTCCTTAAGTAATTATAATATTAATTTTTAAAATATATTATGTTAATTAATGTTTTTTTAATAAACGTTTTTTAAATAATTAATAAATAACGTTTTCATATTATTTTATTCATTTACATATTTTTTAAATAATCATAATATCTTATGTTAATTAATTTAATTAATTTTATAATTTAATTAAATAATAATATTTTTTTATTGTCTTAGTAATTAAATATTCTATTTTAAATATTTTAAAATAATAAATATATTACTTATAAAAAAACCTAAAAATGTATTTATTTTATTTTTGGTTATATCAAATTATTTTAATATTATTTATTAGGTAGAATTATCAGATTTTTATTATTTCGGTCGGAAAGAGAAATATTCGTCCCAAAATATTTTAGGAATAGTTTCTCTTCGATTGGAAATATTGGATTATTTTCTATTTTTCCTTAGAATTTTCTTTAAATATAATTATGCAATTGAATATGAAATAAAAGGATCGTAAAATAAATTTATATTCGAATTCTTAAATTTCCACTAATAGAGACAATATATAATCAACGGGTACCAATTTTGGGCATTATGAGGGTGCTAATCCTTCCCCAAACGTAACCAACCACGAATCCCTTTTATTTATTAAAAGAATGAATTTTGGTTATACGCAGACCGATTTTTCTTTTAAATAGTGTTTTCTTAAAAACTCTTTTAAAAGATGATTTTTAGGTATTCGACCTACCTAATCCAAAAAAATCGATGGCGACTCCAAAAATATTTATTTTAAATAAAAATCATTTTTTTCCACATTATTTTTTCCGCCAAGTAAAATTTCTTGCCTGGACAAAAACCGGTTACGACAAGATGCATTATAGTACTGTTTAGTTGCAGATGCTGAAGCAGAAGAAGAAGAAGACGCCGATGATTTCTTCTTAGACTTAGGGAATCTAGCCTGATGTTGTTTTCATTTTTCTTATCTTGTGGTGTCGTGAGATATGGTTTCTCATTTGCTTCGTAATTTCGGAGATAGGGAAAATGGTCGAAATATAGGTTTAGCTAGGGGTGTAAACAAGCCGAGTCGAGCTCGAGTAGTGCTGAGCTCGACTCGACTCGAAAACTCTGAAATGAAGCTCGACTCGACTCGACTCGAAAACTCGTGAGCTTAATATTTTTAAGCTCGACTCAAACTCGAAATCCTGAACTAAAGCTCGTGAGTAGCTCGAAAAGGCTCGAAATGAAAAAAATTCTTAAACTTAACTCGATTGAAGCCTCAAACTCAAACATGAACCTTAAATACATGAAAATCTTACTGTATTTTAAAAAAAATCAATACATAAATATTAATATTATTAATAATTTACTTTTTAAAAAATAAAATCTTAATATATTAAGTTTTCGAGCTGCTCACGAGCTTTTCGAGTCAAATATCAAGTAGCTCGTTTCGGTTCGTTAAGAACTCGAGTCGAGCTCGAGCGAGTTCATTCGATCCTAGTATTTATCGAGCTTTGATCGAGTCGATCTCGAGTAGCTCACAATCTGTCTCGTCTCATTTACAGCCCTAGGTCCAGAGATGTAATATCGTATCGCGAGGGGAGCGATAAGTGTTGTTGATTCCATAGCTTGATGTAGTTACCGTGCTTTGCTGGCCTATTTTTGGTATGTTTCCCATGCGTATCAATTTTATAGAGCGCGTCCATCTCAACGATTTGCGTAGGAATCAGCTGATGCAACGTATACTGTCGCATAACTCAACTAGGGCCATAGTAAAAATAAAAAAAAAGATTAAGAACGGATAAAAATTAATTCAAAATTAAAAAAAAGTTAAAAAAAAATTACCTTTCAGCAAGAGGAAACTCGACCAGGGTTGTTGTAATCGGTGTAAAAAATGAGAACCGATACCATGTCCAAGATTGTAATCGTATATACTAAGTGTGTGCAAAATTACCAGACTTATTCGGTAATAATATCCCTCCGATCAGTCGAAGAAGATATGTTCGGGACACAAAAATAACCTCGTCGTTGGTCACTTGGAATTCAGACTCCAACCACGTCATCCGTACCCGATAACCATCGATGCATTCGGATAGTGACACCTTTCCCAAAACTTCATAGACCAACGTCTTGGGCTCGTAATTGTTCTGCCTCACCACATGAGCTCCATTCATAGGAACACCGAGTTGGTAAGCGACGTCTTCCAAAGTAATCATTGTTTCACCACTCGGGAAATGGATGGTGTGCGTCTTGGGCCGCCAATGTTCGATCAGAACCTGGATCAACGCCAAGTACACCTTGAAACCACATACAAATATGGCAGGAAAAAGACCGGATTGCTGAAGATATATCAACATCCGCGGATGCAAATCTTTCGCATTCATCTTGTGTTGAAGAATACTCCGTTCTTCTTTCGGCTAAAATCCGATCGACGAAATATAGACGTTGTCGAGGAGCAAAATTTCTATTTGAGAAACCATTTTTTGGGATTTTCACAGAAGTCAAAAATTTTAAAATATTTTTAGATTTAGGGTTTAATGAAAAATCAAAACTCAAAACCTTATTTATAACCCCAATTCTACCGGCTATAATGAAAATATATGATGTTCCAAGTGACCGTTGCCAATTAACCGTTGCACAACTGTCCATTGACTAACGACTAGTTTTTTGAATTCGAAGGAACTTGTCACATTGAGATGACGAGTTCCCCTCTTATTTTTTAATTTCAATTTTTTATTTTTTTTCAATAATCAAAAAATATTTTTTAAACAAACTCATCATCTTGATGTGATGAGTCCCGGTAAAAATAATAAATTATTTTCCCACGTAGGACACACTCATCCGAATCTATTAAAAAATCATATTTCATGATACTCGTCACCTAGAGGTGAAGAGTTCGCTCGATACTGTAACAAATGTCGTAAATTCTTAAATAATATTGGATGAGGGGGTAAATCCCTAAATTATTATTCTGATGCCCCTATTGGGCCAAAAAAGCCATCATTTAAAATGGTGATCCAATTTGTTAAGTATATGTGTCAAATCAAATCCTAACAATTAATATGGATTTTCTGTTCAAAACTTCAAGTGCACCATGCTTTGTTGTCGATAGAATTCACTTCTAAAAATCAAATGGCCCCAAACAAGCTAAACTGTATAAATCTATAAATTCCTTTTAGGAAACATCCAATTTAGAAGCTCCAAAGCTTCTCTCGTTACCATGAGAAAGCTCGCTTCTTGTCCATGAATCAAAGACGACAAAGTACAAGGATGTCCCACCAAGTGTTGAGGAAGAACAGTAAAGTCCGTATGAATTTCACTGCAAAGAACTCAACCGGTCAGGAATTGTATAAATTCCATATATTTATGCCCAACAACATTTTTTCTTACAATGTAATTCGATATTCAATACGATAAAAAAAAAGTATTTGAAACAGATCGATATGAGCATCGGATGACAGGAAACACAGTTAACTTCAATTCTTGTGGAACTGAAGTTGATATTTGGTACAGGAAGTTGTAAGCATGAGCATGTTATTAGTGGTGGTTGCCCATGTCTTGTAACACTGGTAATCATCCACCATGTCTAGCTTAATCGTTCCCGAATTTGTCGTCAACACGATTAGGTAGCATGTGTCAGTCATCTCGTCAGATTCGGGATCTCTGTACAACTCAGCATGCAGGTCGAGTACGATGCCTGAATTATAGAATCCAGATTTTGATCAACTTTCCATGTGACCTTCATCATCAAAGAAAAAGAGGAGAATGATGACACCGTGAGACTTACATTCTTTCTTGCTTTTTAACAGGCTGAGCTTCCTTAGTTTAAGAATGACCTGAAAAATAGATGCCATAATAAAGTTTATTATTTGATAAGTGTATTTAATTATTGTTAATTGATTTAAGCTTCGACTTCACTGTCTCTGACCTTTGATTCACCATCAAGTACTATGGACACTGATCTGACCCTGTATTTCCCTGTCGAGAAATTGCTGTTACGACTCCAACTCGAAATCTTTATCGAGTTTAATCGAGTTCGAATGTTATATTTTGATGGTACTTTTGTATCTTTCTTTAAGAAAAAGAGTGAAATTTACTAACCATCTGGAGTTTCTACTCCTAGCTCGGTGCCCTTGGCTAGCATCTTCCTGCACTTCTCGAACTCGAACCGAAAATCATCGGTGTCCTGGATTGGAAGGATGGGGGCACTACCATTGAATCTGTTTCTGCACCCTGTTCTTGCTTTAAGTGTAGCAGCTCCTTTTAAAGCTGCAACAATTATTAGAATATGTTCAAAGAGTTACTCGTTTTCGAACTATGTTGCGAAAAGACGATGGTCGAAAATCGGATATCTACGTTTATCCTTACATATATTAGCTGAAGCTGTTAGTGTTAAGATTTCACTTGCACCAGTACCAATCATGGCCGAACCTATAACACTGCCGAGCTGCTCCTTCTTAGCCCCCATTGCTTCCGCCATTTTGGCGCATTGTGCAGCAACCAGAGCAGCTGCAGAGGCTATTGCAGCCTCCTTGGTCATGTTACAATCGTTCCTTTTCGAATTCTCGGCCGCGATCGCAGCCAACGCTGCTGCTAGGCCCGCCACCGACATCGCTGCGTGCACTTCAGCTCTTTGTAGCCTATCTTCTTCCTTCCTCTTTGCTTTAATCTCCTTCAACCATTTCTTGATTGAAATGCCCTTGAAGGGGACTATCTTCCACGGCATCTGAGCACATCGATGACAAGTCGTAAACGTTAATTTCTCTTCGAGTACCAGTTAAGATAATAGGTGAATCACATGGAACCTACCCATTTCTTTCGTAAACAGCTGCTGTAATTCAGTTCTGGATGCATAGCTTGTTGCATCCATATCCATGACTGAACATAAAATGAAAACACATAAAACAAGTTACGACTTCGACGAGTAAGGCCGGTACGTCGGTACTCGGTAGCATTAATGAAACAGTATCATCGATGTTACCTTCACATCGTTCGATTTCCACGATGGCAAAGACGACTTGAAATCAGTAGCATCAACCTTTGTGCTTTTCTCCATCCTCTGTCATTTACAAAAGCAATTATTCAATTCCCTTTGGACTGATGAACGTCAATACATTATTATATGCAAGTAGAACATCTTATATGTAGCAGTTCGATACTCACAGTGAATGACATCGAGGAATCGTTCTCAAACTTCTTGATCGGATTGTCTACGTTGACGATCGATCGATCGTGTACCTCAGGTTGTAAAGCTTGAACCGCAAAGTCGCACCATGCACGCGAAAGAAAGTCCATAGTCTCCGGACATGCCTCGGAAAGCGATGATATGGAACTGGAATCCATGGAATTATGAGGTGAAGGAAATATCCAAGGAACGAACTTAAAAGAGATTGATTAAAAGGGTAGCTGATATAAACAACTCTATTTAACATTAAGCATATATATAGGCTAAATCAACACCCCCTTAATGCAATGATGTGGTTCACTATGCTCAAGATGACAATTTCACTTGAATTTGACAAGTTTCAACTCGATTTGGTCGAATTTTTTTTATTTGAAAAATTCATATTTGGAGGATTTAGATTTATAGTGAAAAAATCTAACTCAATCCGATCCGACATAATATTATAATAATAATTATTATATATATATTTAAGATAATTACGATATATTTTTTTATTTTTTTAATTAAACCTTTGTTTTAACCTAAAAATCAAGTCGAATTTTGAGCCGAATGCAGATAAAGGACTCCAATTTGTGATCAATTAATTTTTGAATTGAATTCGTGTGGATAAAAAATTCATCTCAACTCGACCCATTACCATCCCTGAGCATGGTTCATATGTTTGCTTGTAACATAACCACTGGTATTTAATGGGCTAATAACATTAAATCAACCATAAATATTATATACATGTTAAGAATTATGTTATTTGAATTAGGTGCGAATGTGAGATATAAATAATAATTTTATGTTATATTTTATATATTTTTTATGTTTATCCTTGTATTTGTATGTTAAACGTGACTCGTGAGTGTTAAATATGAATACTTTTATAAAAATGAAGACTCGGAAAAATATAGATTAAAAATGAAAAATGACAAAAGGATACTTATATATATGTTAAGATTTATGTTATTCGAGTTAGGCATGAGAATAAGATACTTATATGTATTGTATAATGTTATGGTCATATTTTATAAATATTTCCATGTATATTTCCGTGTCCATATATCAAACATGAATGTTAGATATAGATATTTTAACGAAAATGAAGGGTCGAAATAACATAAATTAGGGACGAACGAAGACAGGAGGGTTAGGAAGTACAGCTTATTCATGTCCCCTCTTGCAGACAGAAGCATCAGACAGATGGGATGTCACAAATGGAATGGCTAACTAAATGTTTCGCGAACACAAAAACATTGAAGAGTTTGCAAATGAAGCGGGACCGGACCTACCTACTAGGAGTTATGAGAGTTTTTAGCGGTTGTGAACATAATGGATGTTATTGTGAATTGTGATTACGGATATTACGGTCATGCTATAATAATATCGGATAATATTACTATTGTCATATAATGGCCGCTATTTCGATAGCGAACCGCTATTTAAATCTCTTATTTTTAAAGATAATCAAATTGTTTGATTGGGTGGGGAAGCGTCCCCAAAAGATTCGAAGGGAAAACTACACATTCTGCAGCTAAGGATGGAACAGTTGAAGTAAGAACATAAGCTTAATACACAAATTAGCCCCTAAGATTAACAGAAGGTACATAAATTAGTCCCTTTTAAATGTCAATCCACTTCGATCACTAAGATAGTAACACAGGCCAAACTAATTTGACAAAAAATATCAAATTCATGCGTCAAAACCTGTCAAGTTTAGGGGTCAATTTGTGTGTATAACCTTTTTTAAAAATGAAGAGCGGGACTAATTTATCTAATGTTTTCGAGACTTAGAGACTAGTTTGAAAATGTTACTAAACCCAGGGGTCAATTTATGTATTAAGCCAAAATCTTGAAAAGGGAAACCAAACAGACAGGCCCTCGTCCCTTTTCATCTTTAAATCAAAACCATATGTTGAAGCTAAGCATGATGAAGGTCTGGGGGGGGGACGATAAAATAAATGTGAGACATAATAGCCAAAGCATGCAGTAGGGGCCAACATAGAGAAAAAAAAGATGTAGACATGTATGATTAAAGACAAAGCATAATCGAGATTAATTAAGTGTTTGATTAGAATAAAACCTTTGCCAACAATTCAAATGATCTTGCTCAAGATTATCTTTTGGTATTAAATTGTGTGTTGGGTGGCTTTCTGTATATAAAAATGAAACTGTACCTTTACTGAAGAAAAATGGTTACTTTTTGGAGATTTGGGTAAAGCTGCACTCATTAAACATGAAGCTTCGAATGATACTGCAACCCTATTTCCATCTTCTCCACTTAGTCATTCCACAATTGAAAAACCCTCGAGGTCTGTAAACATTTTGCATTTGATGTTTGTTGAATTATGCTTTAGTAAAAAAAATTAAACGATATGTTTTGGTGGTAATGAGTTTATTATATTTAAGAATATATTAAGTGTATTTTTTTAATAGGTTACTAGAAATTTAATTTTTAAGACGTTTATGTGTTGAATAACTTCAATAATTAAGGGAGTGTTATTGTTTCTTGACATATTTGGTTCAAGTATTTACGTGTGTAGAGTGCATGTTTGTCATAAAGATTAATAAAAACTATTAACAAATATTAATTCATAATTATTCCATATTATTAAAAAAAATATAGTGTGCCTAGGTTTTTAATGATTTCTTAAAAAATAAATTTAAATATATTATGTGTCAATTTTTAACCGTTGGGTTGTTAAATGTTAATTGTTATATAACACTATAAAACTCATTTAGAGTATGAGTGGATCATATATATATATATATATATAAATTAATAAGTTTTACACTAAAGGTATGTTTATTTCATGGAAAATAGATTCCGAAAATTAATTTCTGTAAAATGAATTATATTTCCTGGAAAACAAATTCTAGAAATTATTTTACGGTGTTAGGATGATGTTATGTAAATCATTTTCCACTTATTGATATTTTTAAAAAAATTATTACAAATAAGAATATAATAAATAATATTATTAATTAGAAAATAATTAATATTATTATTTTTCAATAGTAAAATAATTAATTTAAGGCTTAAGGGTCACTTTTAACTCTATAGTAAACTCAATTTATCATTTTCGCCCCCATCGTTTTTTCATCAATTTAGCCCTTGAATTTGTTTATTGTGTTCATTCTAGCCCTTGAAGTCTATTGATCGATTTGACTAATAAAACTATGAGTATTATGTGTCTATGGATTAAGAAATTAGGTCAAAATTTTGAGATTTTTTCTAATCATTGTATTTAATATTTTATTATTATTTTTTTAATAAATGTCACTTCGTCATTAAATCATGTCAGTAATATTGAAAGATTTAAAAATTATTGTTGTTAAAAAACACATAAGACTAACGATTCTATTAGTCAAAACGGTCAATAGACTTCGAGAGCTAAGATAAATACCCTAAACAACTTCGAGAACTAAATTGATACAAAAAATGATTAGGGGAAAATGATAAAGTAGGTTTACTACAGGGGCAAAAGTGACCCTTAAGCCTTTATTTAATATTATTTATGTCAAAATTATTATTAAAATATTATTTTTATAATTTTATAGAATAAAAATATTAAGATTAATATATTTTTATTAATATAATTTTTTTTTAAATTATATTAATTATTTATTATCATAAAAATATTATATTATTAATTATATTAATTACTTTTTAAAATAAAATTATTATTATTATTATATTAAATTATAATAATACACTATATTTTCGAAATTATTAATTAATATATTTTAAATATTTAATAATTAAATAATATTATAACATTAAAAATATAATATAATTTATTATATAAATAAAAATATAATATCATTTATTATTATAATATAATTCAATACATTATTATAACATTAAAAATATTATATTATAATATTAAAAATGTTAATAGATATATTTTAATAATTAATATTTTTATGAAAATGATACTAAAATAATATATTAATATTAAAAACATAAAAATAATATTATTTTCTATAAAATGAAAAAAAAATTATGTTGACCAGAAAAATGAATTACATTAACATTCTATTTTAATTTTTACACCAATCAAACACTAGAAAATGAAGAAAATATTTTCTAGAATATTAATTACAGTGAAACAAACAAACTCTAATCTAAAGTCATTAGATTTAAATAAATAAATGGTTTAGTTTAATTAAAATTTATAAATCATAAGTAAATATTTTTTAAGTCATAGTAAAATAATATCTTTTGGGTAAATTACACGTTTAGTACCTAAATATCAGTTTTGGCCCGTTTTAGTACATAAACTTTCAATTTTTTCAAACTCATACCTAAAGTTTAGTTTTTTTTTCATTTTAGAACCTATGTTCAAAATTTAACGTTCAATTTTGAGGAAATTTTGAAAGTTTAGGTACTAAAATGGACAAAAAATTATAGTTTATGTACTAAACGCGTTAATATTTTAACAGGGGGAGTACTAAACAAAAATTAAACATTAAGCATGGTTTTGAAAAATTTATAAGTTTAGGTATTAAAATGAACCAAAATTAATAGCTTATGCACTAAATGCGTAGTTTACCTTAACTTTTTTTGCCTCAATCCAATCTCTAAACTTCCAAACCCTAAATCTCTACCTCAAACCATAAACCATAAACCTTAAAGCCTAAAGCCTAAAGTTTAAACTCTAAATCTTAAACTCTAACCCTAAAATAAAAAAATATATTATTTTAGTATGAGCTCAAGAAATATTTATTTACGAGTTATAAATTTTAATAAAATCTAAGCCTTTTAAACCTAATAATTATAAATTAGTGTAAAACTTATAAATTTTACCTAGTGTAACTAAATCTTAACTTTTCTATGTATAACTCTAACCATGTAATATTAAACTTCAAATTTATATTTTAAATTATAGACTTATATTTTTTAACTTTTTAATCCTAGATACATTTTAAAACCTAAAAGTTTTATACAATTTTTAAATCGTTACATTAACTGAACTAATGAGATTAAAACATTTAAAATAAGGATAATTTACTTCTTTTTATGTAAAAATCTTCTTATTTTTTATTGTTAATCTCAATCAACTGTTTTCATTCATCTAACGATCCAAAAATATGTAAAAAGATTTAAAATTTATATATATATGATATAGGATCAAAAAATTAATTATTTTGACACGTGACAATGTCTCATTGAACAATATCATTTTTAATATGTTTGTACGGAGTTAAAATATCAATTTGAGAAGGCGTTTAGTTCGCAGAAAAGGTCAT